GAGGCTAACGCGGGAGTCGTTTCAAATGCAAATGACATCGATCTCTTTTTAATGATATTCCCCACTTGAGCCTCAAATTGCAAGCTAGTTCCAGTGAGTCACCGAGAATACGAATATGGTCTTTTGCCTTGTTTGCGAGGAGTCTCTCCGTAGCTCAGAGCTTAGAGCGCTTGCCCGGTGTTGGGGACATCATTGGTTTGAATCCCGAAGGGAATTCAGTTTTTTTTTCCTTATCCCTCGCGATTAGCATTCCATCTTTCTCGAAGTATGCACTTGCTGCCCAACCGTACGATTTTCAGCTCGGCACTCCGACATGTCGATGGGACATTTTTTAAGTATATCCTGTGGGGAAAAAGTCGCTTAAGGACAAACGTTTTTCCGGTCGATCTCCTGTCTTCGAGAATCGATAGTACAATTGGCTTTTAACCTAGGTTGCCAAGTAACCGAGGTACAGTGACCTACACTGTATCGTTGACGACTTTTTGACATCAGAACGTCTAGAGCATGCTCGTTCGACTTTCTGATTGGTCAAAGAGAAGCGCAAACTCTTCCTTTTCTTTACTTGAAGCAACGTCTGACTGAAAATAACGAGGACGGTCCAAAAAAAGTGTCTTTTTTCTTTGCTTCTAAAGGAACAAGAACTACTGGTCTTGGCAGATGTCGCTCCATGGGATTAACAAAAAAGAAATCAAAGTCAAACAGTCCAAAGGATTCACAGATCTCTGAAGCGTCGTCGACTCTGTTTAGTTATTTTGAGTTCGACAGACGAAAGAAACCAAGGTGAGTGAATCGTCAGTGTTTGCTGAATTCCCTGCAGGCCCTGACAAGTATCTGTATTTTCCCAGATGCGAGGAACCAACTCAGGCAGTTACAGGTTGAGGTCATTACCTTGTCTTGAATGACAAGCTTTTCAGAATGACTTGAACTGAATGTTATTTTGCGCCTGTTTTGGTTTAAAACAACTCATGGACCGTGTTCTTTCCTTTCGTCTGTTTTGGTAAATCAGATGCAAAAGTTAAACTATTGACCCGAGGGGAGACGCCCATATGGCAAGGACGGGGGTACGCGTCGCACCTTTTAGAGGTTAAGAAAGTTACCTCTTAGGGTGTTCAGCCAATAAAGATCCACAGCGGGAGCCTTTGCGGTATCGTTTAGGATATTGCGCCGAAAAAAGTCAATGTCAGTTAAGGTTTTGTTTGAGAATTGGTACCTCTTAGGGGTGAAAAAAAATTTAAGCCACGCCCACAAAACAAGATCTTGGTAGCTCTCAGGGATTCTTTTCAAAATTATCGACGAGCGCCCCCGTCCTTTTTATATAGGAGTTCCCCCGGGACTAATGAATCCTGACTTAACTTACTTTCATCCCCCGCTTTCCACCAGCTATGTTTAACTTTTGCTAAATGGTCGTTCCCGCCTTTACCACCGTTTGCTTGTTATCAGGTGACATTTCCCGCGCTTGCCAATTTTGTCATGAGTTTGTGATTTTCGCTCTGTCTATCGAGTTACTGTTTTGGGTTTCAATTATCTTATACATAACTACGTGAAAAAGCAGTGCCCTAAGGAAAAAAAAATAATAAACGAAAGAAAAGGTATAATACCCAAACGGGCAAGTACCAACGAGACTAAAGGAGCCATGCAAGGTGCCGCCCAAATAGAAAATTTAGTTACGAAAGCTAAAAATTACACAATAAAATATATGAATGTTTAGTTTGCGCTATGGACGATGGCATGCGCACGATCTTACAAGCGACCAAGAGCTGCTCGCAAAAGGCTGGTCAGAGTTTGTTTTAAAAAGTTTTTAAAAACATCGGTACTGGAAAGGCTACTTTAAGGCACAGATTTACAAGTAAAATTCCATAGGTTGACAATCCTATTAAAATAGGAAGCCTGAAATGCGGTAAAATTCCATAGGTTGACAATCCTATTAAAACAGGAAGCCTGAAATGCGGAGGTTTTGCAAATAGGGGTTTTTAAGTTGAAGGAATTGCTCAGCCTCGTGCGGTCATGAGTTGCAAAAGAAACGAAGTCATGTACATTTAGGTCTGTTTACAGCAAGAGTTTGGATTTTAACCTCACAGTTCCCATGTAATTTCCATGCGATTATCATGTAAACTTCAAACTACCTTATCAAATGGCTACGCCCTCCCACAAATACCTTTTATAACACTAGTCAACCACAAAATATTAGCAAACGCTAACCCCAAAAATATTCTCGGAAATGGCCAGTTTCATACTCCTCCCCCCCCCCCGTCCCCTCCCCCCCTTTTCCCTTCATGTTTTTATTGAAAACCTGCACGGTATTGTAATACAGTGATTTCTCCGTTGTTTTTCAGATTGGATCAAAGCGACAAATAAGCTAAGATGATGTCATATTCTTACTGGTGCAGTTTGCCGCAGGTTTCACCCTGCACGCGACCGGATTTTATCGTGGAATTTTAATGTGAGGTCTCCTCGCGCCCGGGGGGGGGTACTCTCAGAAATATCGGGTGGGAGTGTGCGGCCCTTTTCCCAAAACCTTTACTCTATTTAAGATCAAAATCTGTGATTTTTCCTATCCTAATTATGACCTGATCTAAAATTTGATACCTTATTTAAATCAATACCCTGTCTCAGACCTGTCTCATAATTAGTTACCTAGCTCAGACTGATGTTAAAGGCATTGTGAAGGGATTTTGTTGATGGTCTTATCGATAATGATGAAAAAGTAGCTTCTCCTAAACAACATACCAAAACCACACCCTATCTAAGACCAAATGGCCAAAATAGATACCCTATTTATGACCCAAACGGTTGAAAAACCATACCCTTTGGGACCGCACATACCTACTTAGCCCATATAACGGATTACCTCCCTCCCCCACCCCACCTGGGTCCGCGCGCCACTAACATGCAAGGGGCCAAGGACATGTGGATTCAATGGGACCCTTGGGTAAATTGCGAATTCCTAAACCCTTTTGAATTAATTTCTTGGACTAGCCTACTGGCGGGCCTAGGATTTAACTACAAACACTTTCTCCACGCTAAAATGAGACCATAGTTTTAATGTTCTGTTTTAAAATGATAGGTTGGGATGATAAATATCCAATGAGCATTTCTGTTTTAGATGATCCCCAAATTATTCACTTATAGTTGAATAAAGTCCTGAGATGAAAATGTTTCTACTGTTTGTATACAAAAACGTAAGACGTATTATATTTTATACGTGTTGTTGAAATACATTTTAGTCTCGCCACTGATAGGAAGTTGATGAAATAAAGACGCACGTTGTTCTATTATGCAGCAATGCTTCTTCTGTTAACCCTAGCACAGTCTCAGTTCCCTCGGAGTCGTTTGCAGTGAACTAGCGCAGAGCTTTGCTTAAAAGAGGTGCCTTAAATAAAATTCGAGGCGGATACTAACATCTATCACTCATCAATTTATTGTAATTCTTTCGTACCTACTCATCGGGGCGTCCTTAAGACCTGGGAACGGCAAGCAATCGACATTGATTTGGTAGCAAACAGCCCCCTGGTGGGGACGGACGGGGGTACTGGTTGCGCGAAATCCTCGCCTCCAGGATTTCGCTCGACCATTTTTTCTCGCGGTTTTCTTTCGCGTCACGCACGACGGACTAAGCGAAAGAGGGACTACTCGTAGTCTATTTAGGGCTTAAAAGAGCGGTTTTGGTATCTCTTGGGGTGTTCAGCCCCAAAAGGACCAAAACGGGAGCTTTGCGGCACATTTTGGGGCATTGAGCCGAAAAAAATATCTCAGAAGACAATGTGTTGTTTTAGAATTGGTATCTGTTAGGGGTGAAAAAAGGTTCAAGCCACGCCCACAAAACAGGATCTTGGTACCTCTTAGCGGTTGTTTTCAGGGTTTTTTGACGAACACCCCCGTCCTTCTTATAGGCGGGGAGTCCCATCCTGGTACGCTACCACAAGCCAAAATGTCGATCAAACAGTCTTCACAAAAGGCCCATTTAGAAGACAGAAAATTGTTGACACCGTTCCAATATAAATGATAGTGATACCCAGACCCTACCCATGAGGGTCTCCCAGGGGGGTCTTTGTTCCCTTGTTCCCTTCCAAAATTGCCCTATGTTCCCATGTTCCCACACATTTTCGTTATCTGTTCCCCTTTGTAATTTTTCGAATTTTGTTCCCCTGTTCCCAAAAAATGGCTAATGTTCCCTTGTTCCCTTCGATATTTTCCCAATGTTCCCTTGTACCCCAAAACTCCTGGGAGACCCTCACCCATGTCTTCTCGTTGTGTTCATATGTCAAATGTCTGACTTTCTACCGACGTTTCAACCATCATAGTCAAACGCCCAAACTTTGTTACATTATTTATATCTTGGACGATATGTTGTTGAAATGGAAGTTGCGCTTTTCATCAGTGCAATCATTGCGTGCTGTAACCCAAGCTGTGTCTCGGGCACTTTTTCTTGTCCACTCCAGACAGATTTTAATATTGTCTCATTCTGTGATGATTTCTTCGAAATTGGCATCACAGCGTTCCTGGATTACTAATGGACGCAGTGGATATTTATAATTTTATGGCCATTGATAAATGACTATAACAGCCTATGAGATCCATACCATATCACATCCTTGCTTTTCTGTTTTTATTGACCACCTTTCGAGCCATCAAGGTCCATCAAGTCCGATCAAGTGGCACTTTCCCTAGCCATTTTACACCCTTGTCAAACAAGGTGGGAGTACAGACTCACTTTCGTCGGGACCTTTTGAACCATGGCACAATAGCAATGTCTGCTACGAAAAGTAGAAACAATGGTGGAAACCAACTCGAAAGAAAGAAGCTATGTTGATTGTTTGATCTTTTTTTGACAATTGTGTGAATGTCACGCCAAGGTGTGAATTAAAGAAATTTTGTACACAACCCCCGCATAATTCCAGCACAGATCAGGGATAGACTATAGGTAATAACGAATCAAAACGCCTTCACCTAAAACCAAGTTGCGATTATTTCCAAACCGAAAACGACGAGAAAAAAGATAAACATCGAAATCTGTCTTGCAAATAAACACTCCAGCTGCCGTGTCTGCTTCTATTGTTGGTATGACAGACATGTGACATTTCACTTGACATAATAAAAACTGAAATAATTTACATTTTCATGTCACCCGCCAATCGTCGGCAATTAAACGGTTTCCCCTGGTGACACAAGTCGCCGCTATAGCGAAATTGTTTTCACTTTGAAACGAACTCCGCCGAATTTTCGTTGCGACATTTGTGAGCCATTCGAGAGGCGATTGTTGCTTGTCAAACCCCGTCATGTCATCGCCTCAGTGGGAGAATCAGCTGAGCAGAGATGAAGCAGTCACTCAGCGGTCGATGATGTCATAACAGCAGACGAACAAACGACTTTCGCTTGCCTCGTGGCTTTCAGTTGCCTCAGTCACTCGCTCCAAACACCACATCGACTTAGCGTCATGGACGAAATGGAACAGGAAAACCCGAATTCCCTTGACAAGAACCAGAAGAGAAAGCGAATTCTGGACGACAAAGGTAAACTGTGCCATCTCGGCATTTTTTAAGCGCTATCTATTTGTCTTATTCTGCGAAGTCATGTTGGCAGTCAAACTCGGATTATGTTGGAATTATTTTGTCGGTCGCCGACACCACTAGTTTTATGCCAGAAATCAAGTGAAACGTCAGCCAAATTGGAAACGTTTTCCAGATTTTACTGATATTAGACCTTATTTACTCGACGTGTAGTTAGAAGAACTGTAACCGAATTTGAGACAGCGATTATTACAGTCGCGCTTAATTTATGTCATAAACAAATCAGCCAAACATTCAAAGCTAAAATCATGTGATGATTTAAATAGAACGTTCGGGAACTCATGTGATTAACCAGAAGTTATCATCCGTCTCCTATAGTTTGTAGAATTAAAACGACTTGTATGGTGGTGTTTAATAGATTATCAGATATTTCAGTGTCGTATTTTTGCGAAGTCGACTTGTGCAAGCGTTTACTTAACCATTTTGACCCTTGCATATTGCGGCGTCTCGGCCACAAGCAAAAAGCGATCGTTTTTTTTTTCCACGAAGCGATTTAATAACCGTTTTCTAATGACGACCGTCTGCGACTTCTTCTACTTGAAAACGCATCGTAAGATCCAATGCCGAAATCTAATTTATATTCCTCGCAATTGTGCGTGCGCCTAAGAAAATCACTGTTACAAAACTAGTTTCGGATGTTTTATTTTTCTCTTTTCGATCGAACGTCAGTTTCCTGGATGAAACTGCCTGTACTACACTAGCTTTACAACCTAGCCATGAAGTTGATCTCAGATGGTGTTTTTCAACTGCAGTGCAAAAGAACTGAACTGCTTAAAAAACGTCCATATTTACGGAAAAAGTTCTCGAAAACACCATTTACGCTGACATTGTAGACTGGACTAAAGTTAACGATAGGTCACTGACATCACAGTCGTCTGAACAGTCTTCATTTCAATGCGGTGGAAAAATTCTGTTTTTATTTCAACGCCTATTGCAAATCAACCAAATGTTTTTAACGCGGTCTTTTTTTTTTCTTCGCTACCGAGGTTTTAGCCAGCTGTATTTAATAACAATATTTCAAGGTGTTTTCGCTTTCAACTTGAAACGTGCGAAAGTTCTTAACCGTCAAGGATATCTTAGTTTCTGTTTGTCTATTATGATGTAGAGTGGCTAAGGACAATCCTTACTTCCAGCGTGTTGCAATTTTTCAGTCGCCTTTGATAACTTCCGCTTTCGAATGTTTTGGGAACTGAAATCAGTCCGCCAAACAAAACCACAAACAAAGGAAATAAAAACTGACTTGATGTACATGTGACTTTTGATCGGTTTAGACTTTATCCAGCTTATAACATTACAAATAATTGGACTAAAAGGGCAGAACAAAACACCGCCTTTTCAAAGTACATTTTCATTCTTCTCAATTACGTCAAAAGATGATTGTTTTGCGTTCTTTTTGGGACTCAAGGTTTGAACGCCCTTGGATCAAATATCGCCATTAGCTAGTTGTACCACACAGATGTTTGTTGGCAGGTCGATTTAGGCTGAAAATCCTAATGCAATTTACATCCCCAAAACATAGTGAGTATAATTGGACAGCTTAGCACAGGGATTCTTTCTCGCATTTTGAAAAGATAGGTTTTCTCTTGCAAATGCCTCGCTGTGACTAGTGCAGGCAAAAACACGTTTCTGGTTTTCTCATCTTCAAAACGGTTTTTAAGGACCTTTTCTTCCTACATCTGTTGAAGTCGTTTACTTAACCAAGCGTCTCTTAACTCGCCTTAGCTTAAAACTTTATTACTTCCATTAACGGCTATACACAACACTTGAAATGCAAATTTAGACTAAAAGCTTTCAACTTCATTTCGTCCGAGTGTGCAAGTTCATCTAATGGTGGGCAGTGTGTATGTTTTTGTTTTTGTTTTTTTAATCCACTCGGATCCTAAAACAGTTCCTTTTTCTTCCATCCTACGCTCAAACGAATCCCGGAGTTGCAGCTTTGCACGGCGAAAACGAGTCTTGCTGGAGTCGAAGAACAAATTGAGCAGGAGAAAAGAAGATGTTATTTTATTTTAACAAACTATGTTTCCGTATTTTGTTTTCTTTCTCTCGTTGTTCTTTGTCTTGGACAATTGTTTTTTTTTTCTATTTCTTTGTTCTAGCCCGTGGGGTTTTGCATTACTTTCATTTTGTCCAGAAGGTTTTCATTTCTTGTTTTACTAACTCCTACAGGTCTTTGCAGCTTATGGAAGCGCTTTTGTCCGGAAACTTTGTTCCAGAAATTTAGTCACGTGTCCTCAGGGCTTTAGTTAGCCGTAGAACGGAAGTCAACCAAGGTTTTTTTGACCAAAGTTGTTTTTCTCTCCTTGCTGTCCTGTTTTTTGATTACTGATCTTGTTTTCTCTCATTTCTGTAATGTGTGCATGATATTTGTGTGTAAAATGTTTTTCTTGACTCATTTGTGATTTTTATTGTTGGGATTTTTTTTCTTTTTGTTCGCGTGAATTGTTCAATACAGTTTCGTTTCCTTATCACTTACAATAAGATCCACAGCTATCTACAGCAACGTAAGTGTTTTATAATAGAGATGTCGGCAGCTTTTCGATGCATTAGAGGGAAAGTGAACTCTTGTGAAAAGCACTTTAAAACACCCCAAAGCTGTGTTTGTCTGTTCAAAGAGATGTGATCTGAGGGAAATCTAGCATTATTTTTCACCCCTTTGAGAAACCAAGTTGATCGGCTTTGGAAGGAAGCTCCGCAACAGATGTTCTGCAAATGTTAAGTTTTTCTTTCACAGGGTTTCAGCCGCGGGTGAACGGAAGGAAACAGTCAGTTTCCCTCTCTCTCGTTAGTTCTGTTGAAAGATATGAATCAAAATATGGAAAAATGAAACGAAAAAGAAAAGATAAACGAGTTAATACTAGGCAAGTAAAAGTGGAGGAAAAAACATGCACAAAATGGAAAACGATGTTTCACAGCTAGTGTTACGTATAGGCCGTTTAAAACATCTCGGCCATTATGAAAACATACGCACAAGTCTTCATCATGAATAGATGATACGCGCCTCGAAGTTTACTACATAAAATGTTTTCCAGATGAAGGAAGTACAATTAAAAAGCAAAAAGGGAGAAGACAAAAGAAACAACGAAAATAGAAAATAATTTCGAAAGGAAGAAAGAGTCACAGCAAAAGTATAGAAATACAACGCTTCCACTTGAATGATTGTGAAAATTTTGTTCCTCGGTCAAAAATTTGGGGCTCAGATGGTTTAAATTCGGCGAGTAATAAATAGTCGTCTTATATCGTTAGTTCTTTTTAATACTAGGGACACAGTAAGACAAAGTAGATGAAGAATCTTACTGTTTCTATCAGAATACTTGCGCCGAGATAACTTGGACGCATAGTTGCAATGCGGCACAAAATCTCCTTCGGAAGCTCGAGATTTAAAGGCATACACACCATGGTGTTTAAGACAACATTTTCGATTTCGAATTATCACTTATTCCAGAGAATAAACAGCACATTCTACTAAGAGGTCATTTTCTTTTGATTCTACATACACCTACTCACTCGCTTTCTCTCGGACACTGCTATCTCTTCTTTCGTTCGTGCGTGAATCCCATGTCTTACCTTCCCCACAATGGAAGTGATACGTATCAGACTAAATTTGTTCCGTGATTAGAAAAAAAAGGATGAAAACACGTTTAGTTGGATTCTTCATACATACAAGGGTATTGTTTTGTCGTTGTAACTGTGAAGCAGTTTCCAGGGTATGTAATGACTTACTTGACTGATTGGCTAACTGATTGTGTGAGTGACTGACTGACTGGACGGACAGGCGGACGGACATAGGGACTGCCTGACTTACTGAATAGCTGGAAAGCTTACTGGCTGGCCTGTTCACTGAGTGACTTACTGGTTCATTGACGGACGGAATGACTGACTGACTGACTGACTGACTGACTGACTGACTGAATGACTGACTGACTGACTGAGCGAGTGACTGTCTAGCTGATTTATTGACTGATTTACTGACTGACCGACAAATTATAGTAGCTGGAACTTTTCTTATCCATTTTAATCCACTGTATTATAAAACGTTCACACGGTTTTTTTTTTTTGCATCATTGGCAAAACAGTTTCTAGTTACAGTGTATATCTACAAAGTGTTGCTACGTTCCCCATGGGCTAGGAGCGTAATAGAATCAGAGGATTTATTCTACAAGCGCAGTCTCAAAAAGGAGAGACACACCCAAGCCAAACCCATTTCTTTCGTTTACATTTCATATACGAATCACTCTTCTGTATAAATCACTCAGACTTGCGACGTGTGACACTTATCTGTCAAAGTGAAAGTAATGTTGGAAAATCGGTTTCAAATTAGTAAGAGGCAGATTTTTAATGCGTTCTACAGTCAATAGCAAATGTTTGCATTTCGTCAATTTCGATTCCTTTCCATCGAATTACGAAACAAATCCATGGAATTTGAAAACATCTCATGTTCAAAACGATCGCCAAACTGTACGTTCTTTTCCGTACAAACGGTAGACAGTGCATGTGTCGATAACTTTATGCTTTGTCTCTCTAAAAGCTTGTCTATCAACTACAAGATGGTCAGTTTCCGGTAAGGCATGGATGTCCTTAAACTTCTAAACGCATTTAGTTGCGTTGAGTGTTCAGTTTTTTTAAGCTGTTGCTCAACAATTCCCTCAGTTTTTTTTTTTTTTTAAGAGATCCTTGTGTTTGGGCAGGAAATAAAAGAAACAGGTGTGTTGGTACAGATAAGATTTTTCCAAAATGTTTGTGGCAAAAAAGTAGATCACCACTTCGCTTATTCAACCAAGATGGCTGTAAGACCAAGCCGCTCCTACTTACAGTTCGAAGATCGAGAATTTTCGCGTTGGTTTCATTTCTCTTGGGAAGGTATGTTAGCAATACGTAGAAAGTGCATTTTCTCTTTTGCTGTTGTTGATGCCATCTTAGGTGGAACGTTTCTTTGTTGGCTTGTTGTTTTGTCATGCTGTTTAGGAGCATTCTAGCGCTATTTCGTTTCCGTAAAAAGAACGACTTTGCAAATCGACAGTTTAAGAGGTATTTTTTTTACACATTAGCTTTTATTCAATTTCAGTTGAGTCTGAAATAAAAGCTACAATCTGCTCATTTCTTTTCAGATTTATGTCGTCACCGAGAACGGGTAGAACGGCAACGCGCTGTTCGGCTTTTAGAATACAAACTCGGCATAGACAAAATATTGAATTGCCTGTTCCTTAATTTTCAGCTTGTGAGGTTTGCGGTGACCGCTCCACGGGCAAACACTATGGAGTGTACTCATGCGATGGGTGCAGCGGCTTCTACAAGAGGACGTGCCGCCGATCTGAGCCCTGGCTGTGTAAGGGCCAGGGACATTGTCCGGTGGATAAGAGCAGTCGTAACGACTGTAAGGCCTGCAGACTTAAGAAGTGTATCGAGATAGGAATGAACTTAGACGGTGAGTCTTTGATCTGTTTGTAGTTAATTTGAGTGCATGCGGAAAGCTGCATAACTCAATAGAATGGTGCAGTTGTTTTGTTTCCTTCTGGAAGCGGTTATAATCTTTTTTACCCTTAGTTGTATGATGTAATATATCATAAACACGACATTCACATTAGAGAAAATTGATACGACTAGCAGCGGAGTATTTTTGACAATTTGATAAAACACTTTAGAAAAACAGCCCTAAGAAAATACACGCGCTGATTGGTTGAAAATCGTGTTTCCATAACTCGATAGAAACACAGAACTAGCACGAGCTGTTGACGTAATGATGGCTCGAGCAAGGAGAATTTACATTTTTCGTCGCGGTGTTTTGTAAAAGAAATAGAAAACATGTTCTCCGTGTTTCTATCGGGTTATAGAAACACTCGTGGAAGTTTGGGAGAACTCAAAAAAGCTATAGAAACACTCGCCTGCAGCTCGTGTTCCCAGAGCATTTCTCGTTCTCCCAAACTCCACTCGTGTTTCTGTTAAACAATTAGATTATGTGTTCGATATATCTTCGCAATCGAAGCTATAAAGGAGAAAACTGGACAATGAAATTTCAATATTTTACACTAATATTATCCAAAGTACGTTCATGAACGGTTTTCTTTTGTTTTCTCCAAACTTTCATTCCCAACTTTGCTGGCTGATTTTTTATGAGGTATTACATCAAGACCGAATTATTCATCACGTTCGTGTTCACGCAGATCAAAGTCATTTTGATACCAAACGTTTTGCACGAGTACTGTTTTGAAACAGAGAAAACAGCCAACACCGGAATGGCCAAGTGAATACGCCATTTCCGGCCGGGTTGCGTTTGCCTTTGTCAGATCGAGTCTTCCTGCGAAGCTATTCATATGAAAATGAGTTCCGCCTACAGGTTCATGTTCATTCAGATCATGACAGGTTTTGCACGAAGACTCGTTTTGAAGCCGAGGCAGTAGTCAACTCTGAAATGACCACGTGCGTTTATTTTTATAACGTTTTCGTGTTTGTTCAACATCAAGTGTAGTGAACGTTTTTGGTTGCTATGTTTCAAGTGGGGCACTTTTACATTAGGAGGGAGCATTGGATGTTGCCAAACACCGCAATACCGTAGAAAAAATCCAACAAAATCGCAATTCCCCCCCCTCCCCCCCCACAATAGTCTCGATTACCAGGCGCTGTCCGGAAAAGGAGCCCAAGCTCCTCTCCCGAACTAGAAAGAAATATGGACCGGACTCGAGTGAGCGGCGGAATTCAAGCCTACCCCAACACCAACCCCCACCCCCAGAAAAAATTCGCAAATACTGCAGGTTCATGCTGACTGTTTCGATGGTGCGAGAACAGAAAACGATGCAGAAACTCGCGGTGGAGCCGCGAAAGCAATGAAATGACTTCTAAGTTGTAGATTAACTAGAGAAGCAAACGTTAGGCTGACTGTGAATTTTCCGCTTACTTCATGGTTGTTTCTCGGCTCAACGCAAATTTCAATTTCTTTCGTGGCCGCCCGCTCCTTTTCTGTGTGAGAAAAGCTGTTTGCAGCTGTTCTGTAGCTTAAGTTTGGTGAAAGAAAAACTGCCACGGTGCGAATGTTGAAAAGTTAACGCGATGAGAATAAGGAATTTCCTCAATTTATTGAGCTATATTGTTTTGATTTACCTCCAAATTTTCTAAAGAAATATTTGTCAGTCATAAAGGAGAAGTGATTTTTAAATCTGAACAGAAAGGGTTCTTTCTTTATTTATTATTATTATTATTATTATTATTATTATTATTATTATTATTATTATTTTACCCTTTACTTCCATTCCTGTTTGGACGCAGCTCGAGATCGTCGCTTTCCAATAGGCCATTTCCGAGTTACCTTGTGCCTCTGTTTCAAAACAAATCTTCGGGCAAAACCTTTGGTGTGGAATGGGCCACGTTCGATACATCAATATTGTAACACGGATGCGAGGCTTTCGGGTCAAAATTACAAATTTTTTGAGTTTTTGTTGTCTCACAATTCCCAAAACAGACTCGGAAACAAAGAAAACACCACCAAATATAGAAGTTTGTCCTGAAATCCTCGTAGCCATTTCAGAATATTGATATATCGAACGTGGCCTCTTGAGTTTGATTTGCATGAAAATAAACCTGTAGGTGGAACGCATTTCCGGCCTCGCTGCCAAGCTGAATTTTAATACCATCACATTGTGCGATGTATTTTGACATTTCCGCGCGTAGGAATAAATCCAGGTCTATTTACAGTCCCCCTGAGCTAGTTTTAATGTCAAGGCAAGCTTTCAAATTCACCAATTTTACTTTCCTATATGGGTATGGCGCTCCGCTTGGCCGGAGCTCCGCTAAAAACGCTATATTAAGATCACTCGAAGGTCACTGAAACTTGTCGAATTTTAGCGAGCACAGCCGACGCCTAACTTCAACTTCAACTTCGCTTTATTTTCCACTTACAGTTTTGAAATTACTCTGTTAGCATAAAAAGAGGAAAAAGATACATATATAACAATTAAAGGTGACAATTGTCTATAGTTTGTGCATGGAGGCTAATAGAACCCCGAGGTTATCGAGTTAGCCTCCACCTCGTTTGAGTGAACATAAAAAAACATGGGAGTAGAAGGACGGATTACCAAAGGAAAGAGCTAGAAGAATTGTGGAAACTTACGTTTGATGTTGCTGAGATATAACATAGTTTTTAACCCTTTTGGAGAAAGCAAATTGATTTAGATCTTTAAACCTGTATGGTATTTCTTGCCAAAGATCAATGGCCATAAATGAGATCATTTGTTTGCCAGTATTTGTTTTTACTCGAAATTTATGAAGATTTTGATTGGCCGCATACCTGGTGTTATAATTATGTACGTTGCTGGCATACTGGAAAAAATGGTTAAAGAGTTCTGGCAAAATACCTTTGTGCCACGCGTGTATACATTTGAGAGCATGCAGGCGATATACATTAGTTACCGTTAAGATTTCCAAGATGTTTAAGTAAAGGTAGAGCACTATCGGTATTTTTGCCAGATAGAGTTTCAAAGAACATTAACCTAATAACATGATTTTGCTTAGTTTGTATTTTTTGTAAATTTGTTTTGCTGGTGCTGCCCCAGGCTACAATAGCATACGAAATATAAGGATAGATAAGATTATAATAGATCTGCGTACGATGTTTGAGAGATAGATAATGCCTCAACTTAGAAATTACTCCTGTATTCCGTGAAAGCTTTGCACAGCTGTGGTATTTCCAAGTTAAAGAACTGTCGATCATTACTCCCAAATAGGTAATGTGGTTCTTTCGTTCTAGGGAGTGGCATGATCCATCTCGGTTAGTTATATTCATATTAACTAACGAAGTTTCCCAAACTGTGTTCGATAATTTCACTAAGGACCTTCGAATGCAAAGATTATTTTCCGTAAATGAGAAATTAGAGAACTACCCGATGACAGTAGCAGATTTTTGGACTGAAAGTGTGTCGCAAAGGTTTGCTTGGTAGTGTAGGAGTATAATTAAGTAACCAACTTTGTGAATTGTACACCTCAATCGAGCAGTCTTCGGTCATGTTCGGAAGGTCAATGATCATCATTCATCAGCGATGCGATCAGTGCAGTGATATCATATTACTGCAAAAATAAAGTGTTTCACTCTTTTTTTAATAATAATATTGTTTTTCCGGCCGAGACTGAATATTCTTATTTTTCTGTCGATTTTCGGTTGAAATATTCTTGTGAATATTCTTACATTATAGTCTTTGACATCTCTGTTTTCAAATGTATTTGGTGTCTGGATGGTGTTAAAGTAATTTTAGAGCGAGCCTGCCGGCATTAAAGCCTGATGTCACGAACGTAACTTTTTGCAGAAATGTTTTTAGCATGGAACATTCGCCTAGTGCTGTTTTTGTTGCTTTTTTGGCCAGTTTTTCCTGAAAATGCAACTCCATAGTCAGTCCAGTCCTGCAAATGCACTAGAAAGTACCCCACCCCTCCCTCGCCCCCGGCTGGCGTTTTTAACATCATTATGGGAAGACGAAAAGCATCAATCTTGTCGAGGAGAAATTAAATTACCCAAAATTGAGTGATATATATATTGCCTTCAGAAATTTTATCAATGTACTTATTATTTTAAATTTTTGCGAACCATTATTGTGTTTAGTTTAAAAAGGGGAAAATTCTTTTTATCTTTTTATAGGAGTGTACCGCCGTTCAAGGTTTAATGAAGAACTTGGACAATCACCCGGTGCAGAGAGTCCCGCAGTTAACGCACCAAGTGACATGCGGGTTGATATGTCACCTTCGCCAGAGGGTCTTGGTAAGTTTCGTTGCCACACCGACTTGCGTCTGCCCATGGAGGGCTTTGTTCGGTTGTACGGAAGCAGCTCTTACCATTATTATTTTTTCAATAGATACAGATTAATTTTTTTAAAATCTATTGTTACCTCAGCAAAACCGTCCCTGTATGTTCTTCCAGTTCACGAGTCTTTCCTTTAACCTTACAATCAGGTCCAACGTTCCCCTCCGGCATGGAAACTTATGGTTTCCATAAAAGGTTCATTCTGTATATTTTTCTCAATGGTGGGAAGAAATGATGTTGTTTTACAGAAATAAGACATGTCCAACATTTGTCGTCGTTCACGGTGTTTTAAGTCCCTTTGGTTGTACGAGATAGTTCTGGAATGCAAAATAACTTCGCTCCGTAGGTTTGACTAGCTTGTTGACTGTTTTTAGGTTTTCCAGTTGCGACCTCTCAAATTAGAGTTTCTCGAATCAAGACAGTTATGGTCAAAAGAGAGGACGAACAACAGCAACTACAAGAAGCTGAGCAACAAGAACAACAACAAGAAGAACAAGAGCAGCAACGACAGCTACCACAACAGCAACACGTACAGTCAAATGAAAATAATCAGAAAGCGCCAGCAAGTCCGAAATACTACAAGGAAAAACGTGACCACGAATTTCTTGCTCGACCCCAAAATTTACTTCCGGCACTTCAAGCTACTCCCTTCACTACCCCACTAACAACAATGTCATGTTCACCCGTGTCAAGTCCGGTCAGGGTATCGTTTACAGCGCAAGGAAGCGGTGTAAACACTCGGCCAGGTGCGGCTGCACCACCGCTCTCTTCACAAAGATTTCAACCGCCCATGTCGTTTCCATCAATCCAACAGAATGGCTACCAGAGTCCACCCAGGTCCGTTCCGAGGCTACCTACCGGGGGCCCTGTGGTAAATGGCCATAGAATGGCCTCTACGGCCCTTGTGTCGTTCACAAACGTCCAAAGGCACTTGCAGTCCACACAGATGAACTTGTCAGAGCTCCATCAGGCGGTGGAACCTGTTTCATTCCATACCTCCGAGCCCCTCCATGATGCGGCCACACGACTTCTGTCAGTATCCCTGAGGTTTGGTCGTAGGCTTCCTTGCTTCAGACGCTTGCCCTTTCGAGACCAAGTTATCCTTTTGGAGGAAGGGTGGAAGGAATTGTTGCTTTTAGATTCAGTTTTCTGGGCGTTTACACTAACACTAGGGGGCTCCCCTGAGGCAGAGAAGGACCAACGACGACAGCAGGAAATAAAGAAAATGCAGGAGGCCCTGACGCCTTTCAAAACACTCAAGTTGGACAGCTCTGAGTACGCTTGTCTTAAAGCCGTCGTACTTTTCAGGACAAGTAAGTTCAATCAATCAATCAATCAATCAATCAATCAATCAATCAATCCATCCATCCATCCATCCATCAATCAATCATCAATCAGTCTTTANTTTATTTAAACACGAAAATCTTATCATAAAAATGGTCTTCCTAGGAGTCGTGTAAAAAATTACAAAGAATAAATTAACTATATTAACAGGAATGGATTAACTAACATTACATTGCATTAACTAACGAACTAATTAACTAGCCTACAGTAAAAACCTATGTTATAAAACTTTCTCTAATTTACGGTGCACTACAAATAATCTTTCCCATTCAGTGAGGTTTTAAACAGTTTCAAAGTGGAAAGGTGTCTGATTTCCGATGGAATCTTGTTCCACAGAACAGATCATCTATAGTTATA